GAAACCCCTGGAAGAGGAAGCACTGGCACTCAGTGCCGTTCTCAGTGGCACGCCCTGGCATTTGGAGCAGCATGATGCTCGCACCTGTTGGCTGATTCAGAGCATTACATTGAGCACCCCCAGTCCCTCAGGAGCACTCTCCTCGCCTCATTGTGTCTGTGTTATCTACATGTTCTCAAAGGCTACGCAGCACCAGCATCGCTTCCCAGAGAACGAGAGGTAAAATTTAAAGAAAGTAAACAGCAGAGATGATCAAATGAAATGTTTTAAGTGACGAATAAATGACTAATACATTTGATTCTAAAATGCTGCATATGGAAAATTATAACATACAAAATCGTAATATTTTATTCAGTGCAGCCTTCCAGTTACAAGTGTTCATTACATTTACTCAGAGTGAACCCTAATGTTCTATTTTAAAGCTTCCCATTTCACTGACTCATTCCTAAAGCCCTAGACTCTATTTCTAAATACCTTTACATACTCATTACTCCAGGATACTTCCGATGCAGTCAACAAATATGTTTTCCTTTTTAACTTCCATACAACTTTCAGGCTGACTTACCTGGTATCATCTCTTTCACTTAATTATGTCCCTAAGTGGTGTTTGCGATCTGAGTTGAAGATTTAAGGAGAAGGGACAGGTGACCAAGGTAGAGTGAATGATGAAGACAAGAACCACACTGAAGAGAACCCGTGTAACCCAGGCCCCAAGGTGGACCTAAAAGGTTATGATTCTGCTGCAGATCAGGTTCCCCAGAAAGCAAACCTCAGGACTGAGTTCAGCATGGAGGGTGCTTATTAAATGCCCGTAGGATCAACAGGGAAAGGAAAAGAAAGAAAAGCGCTGGATCTAGAACAGTGGTTCTCAACCTTTCTAATGCCATGACCCTTTAATACAGACAGTTCCTCATGTTGTGGTGATCCCGCCATAAAATTATTTTCATTGCTACTTCATAACTGTAATTTTGCTACTGTGATGAACTGTAATGTAAATATCTGTGTTTTCCAAAGGTCTTAGGCGACCCTGCTAGCGGTTCTCATAGGTTGAGAACCACTGCTGTAGAGCCAAAAAATGTAGCACAATTATCTTGTATTATCTTGTTCATATTTTTATCTATTATTCACTACTGAATCCTGGACACATATCAGTGCTTGGTATTTAAATATTTAATAATTACTCATGTAAGGAAATGAATGCAGACAATGAATGTTTATGATTTATAGAATTTTAAATACACATCAGAAACACAATTGTAAAATTATTTGTCTAGAGGAAATCATTCTATATTTCTGAATAAATTTGAACTTAAAAAAGGACTGCTACTATTTTAATAGTAATATTTTCTTAAGCTTAAATATTTTTAATCTGAATCTTCTTAAAAGTCATAATGTTGTAAAAAAGAATATGTTTGTTTCCACAAATAATGTATTTTTTAAAATATATTTTATTGATTTTTTTTTTTTTTTTTTTTTTTACAGAGAGGAAGGGAGAAGAATAGAGAATTAGAAACATCAATGAGAGAAACACCAATCAGCTGCCTCCTGCACACTCCCTACTGGGGATGTGCCCGCAACTATGCCCTTGACTGGAATCGAACCTGGGACCCTTGAGTCCAAAGGCCGACACTCTACTGAACCAAACTTGTTAGGGCAATCATGTTTTTTTTTTTTTTAATGTTTTCTCTGAAGGTTTCTTTTTTTTTTTTTTTAAATTAAATTATTATATGTGCACATATCTTACCATTGCCCTCTCCCCCCAATAATGTATTTTTTGAGGTAACAAAACTAATGTGTGGGAGACATTCCATATTCTGACTGTTAAACTTTTTTTAAGGAAAAAAAAATGTTGAAAATTCTTAAGACTAATTTCCCAATTTTACATTAAACAACAAGCCTATGATAAAGAAAGTCTGTACAAGAGAGACAAACAAAAACAAGGTATAAATTAGGCCACTAGACTTACAATAATATTTTTGCAAGAAGCTTTTATAATTGGTGGTTAGTGTCTAAGCTAGGAATATAAGATGTCCCAGAAGATTAATTGAGTTTCGGAATTCAACCTCTGACAGGGTCAAGAGGAATATCCTTTGTGATCTTGGCTAAACATTTACCCTAACACTCAAATACAGACCATTCCATTTATCTAAGTTTATACTTTTAATGCAACATAAAAAATACTTAATTTTCAGTTGGACAAGGTATTACATTCTTATTTTCATCTGCACCAATTTCAAGTAATACAGTTCTATACACAATTCTCTTCTCTTGAATAAGGGAAACATTCTTTTATTTACCTAAAAACTCTCCTATTAGTTCTTTCTATCAATTCTGTAGTTATTCTAGAAGTTTGGTTCTTAATGGAAAGTACTATTAATTTTCATGAGAATTTGATTCTATCTTCTTTCAAATGTCATTTTTTTTAGATCAATAAGGCATTATTAAGTATAGGAAAACCTATATCTTATTTCTTATAGAAACCAGAAACTCAGTCATAAATGGGACTGATGTCAGGATAATAAAATCACCACAGTATATGAAGAAGAACTGAAGCAGTAAAAGAAAGACATTTTAATATCTTATGAAGTAGAGAAAAAATGAGCATAAATACTATAATTATTTTATTTTTTTAAATATATTTTATTGAATTTTTTACAGAGAGGAAGGGAGAGAGATAGAGAGATAGAAATGTCGATGTGAAGGAAACATCAACCAGCTGCCCCTTGCACACTCCCTACCGGGGATGTGCCCGCAACCAATGTACATGCCCTTGACCGGAATCAAACCTGGGACCTTTCAGACCGACGCTCTACCACTGAGCCAAACCTGCTTCGGCCTATAATTATTTTTTAAATGCATTGAGCAGGCCAAATTTTAGATAGTAATCAATCACTAACTTAAATTAATGTAGTTTCTCTAAATTATCAGGCAGTTGTCCTAGTCAATGGTAATATTAAAGTAACATGAACAAATTAAAATAGAACCTTGAATTACGGCAAGACCCTTCAGTAATCATTTCCACACAGAGTAATTCTAGGTTGTGCCATAGTCTATGATACTTAAGATACGCTAAATAATGTAACAATTGGGGGGGGGGGGCGTTAAATAGGGGCCTTTATCGTACTCTACACTCACCTTTTAGTAACCTCAAAAAATTTAGAAGGGTTCCCAAATGACATGTCATGATAATTCTTTATTTTACCCAAGTAACATTTTTAACAAATCTTGGCTACATTGTTATCAGCTTCAAGGAAACAGAAAACAAGGTACAAAGCTAAGTTAAAAGCAACTTTATTACAATACTTTTCCAAACTTCAAAATGCATTTAGTATTGCATTTAGACCTAATAATATTATATAATACATTATATTACAAGACAGAAAGCATTTCTGGTCAGATATTTAGTTTGAATGTATTTAAAAAAAAAAAAAAAAACAGAGCTTACTAGGAATAGCAGCAACACACAATAGTTTATATCACTAAGTGAAATGTTTCTCAGATATCTCAGAAAAAATCACTCATATTTCAATCCATTTTATGTTTACTCCTCTGATTTAGAAACAAAGCAAAGCTATATTTTCTATCATTTACTAGTTAATGCCTAGAAGTTGTCTATATCCTAATTATATCCACCAGCTTAGAAATATTTCCTATGGTAGAAAATATGACATTTTAAATTAACCAAACCAAACAAACAGTGTATTTTTCCCCACTGCAAACAGGGGCAGAAATCTCTTCTTTCCTTTTTTGGGGAGCCAAATCTTGGCTTCCTCCTCTTTATGTAGCCATCCTATATTATAATTAACTGCTCTAAAAGATACCCAAGTCTATAGTGAAATCTATTCTAATAAAGTCTTCTTGTTTTAATTCACAACCCACTCTGAACATCATGTAATAATGAACTTAAAAATAATCTTAGGAAACGTTATTCCATAAGGAACTATTTTCCAAATTAGACAAGGACATTATTTGCTCACCCACCTCTGCTTCAAATGACTAACCCAATTCACCTTACGAAAATAATTCTTTTTCCAAGGTTACTACTCTGATAACAGTAAATCCACTAAACAGCTCTAGTCCTTTAATGTACTCTGTTGGTTTAACATCTGTGAGCTACCGACTAGCACAATACATGTTCATCCTCCTCATTTTCACAACAGCAGGAAATGGTTAGAAAAGTATAGAAAAGGTCCTATTGCTTTCTTATGGCAAATCGAATACAGATTTTGTTTTGAGTTGGAGAAAAGAAAAAGTGAATGAAAAGGTATGTGCTGGCTGCTTGAGGGGGCAAAGCTCATAAATCACTGTACGTTAAGAGCACGTGCTGAAACTTCATGGTGCCAGTCACGTAATTTTGTGTATTTGGGGCTAAACACGTGAAGGGGTATCTTTTCCCTGCGGAAATAGAAGAGAAGAAAAAAGAAAAAAAGAAAAGTGATAGAAGAGTCATAAGAAAGAGCAAGAAAAAGTTTCTATACTACGATCATCATGCAGAAAACATGCCTTCTAAAGCTTAATTTCACAAAGCTGTGTTAATTAAGAGCAAAAGATTTTAAGGGTAGAGAGCATTTTTTAAATACAAAAATTAACTATTAGAGCCCTCTTGAGAACTTCCATTTTTATACCCAAAGTAAAGTGACTGCAAGATCACATGAATTCATTCATAGACTACAGTGTTAAAAAAAAAAAAAAAAAAAAAAAAACACAAAACACTCCAAACACACCTTTCCGCCTACTTATTTCAATGCTTTCAATGCTAAAGAGAAGAAACTTTAGACATAAAATCCAGAAAATATCTATTAATTATGAAATCTGTAAGTTGTACATTTAAGTTCAACAAAAGGTACCACAGTTAAATGCTTAGCTTCTGGTTGCAAAAGCAAAATGCCATACCATTACACTTGCAAATGCAAATGACAAACTGAAAGGAAACCATTCATTCAATATACAAAAAAAACACACACACACAATAACAACAACAAAAAAAACGGACAACTTACTTTGCCTTCTTTGTATTATCAGTTTCAGCTTCTTTCACTGAAATATAATAAGCGATATCCAATATTAGTTTGTTTTTTAAACTTTAAAATCATTTAAGCCAGTGATCTTCAACTGGTGTGACACAACAATTTTTAAAACATGAAATACCTGACTATTTGGATCAGGGGCACTGACCTTTTTTCCCTTAGATTGTCAAATTAAAAAAAAAAAAAAAAAATGACAGCCAACACAATAAACAGCCATCAGGTGTAAATGAATCAAAATTATACCTATTATTTTTGTCAGATCAGCAAAAAACATACTTTTGGTGTACCACAAAATTTAACTAGTTAATGTGTGTCATCAGATGAAAAGGGTTGAAAATTGCTGATTCAAGCAATTACATGCACCAATCAATAACAAATGGTCAAGTTGTACAGAGCCACTAAAAAAAAAAAAAAAAAAAAAAAAAAAAAAAAAAATTTCTATATCATCTTATCACCTGGTCATAGACTATAGTACAATCAGTACTACTATTACTGATACTTTTGCACTTTTCAATGAAACTCTCCTGAGCTGATTTCTTATTTACAACAGCCATGTTATGTAAGGCATAATTTAAAAGCAAACTTGCTCAAGAAAACTATTATTTCCTAATTACTGTTTATCTGTCTAAATGCTATTTCTCTATGGGAAAGAACATTCATCTATGAGAGTCCCTAGGTATTCACTTACGATTTTCAGTCCCAGTGATCTGGGCCAGGATTCGGAAGGAGCGAGACTGAGTGGTGCCCGTCCTCGGGTGCCAGTCTTCGGTATCCTCAATCAGTCTCTTCTTGCTGGCATCGCTGTGAGTAGGTATGTGATAAAACTCTGTGTTACGCTCCACAATGTGTTTCCTCGGTGGGCTAGGATTAGGCAGAAAAAAATGAATGAAAATTTTATAACTATATAAGGGTAAATATTCTCTGCCAAATTATTTATAATGCACACATTAATCCTTAGTGTTCCTTTTTATGTTTTGCTTTTGCAAGCATACACAGCTTCAATTTTTTTAAGAGCATCCTTCTAAAATAAAGTAGATGGAATTTTTTAAATAGAAAAGAGGCACATATATGCTAATATAATAGTATAAGCAACTATTCAACAGGAAGGTTACCGTTTAGGTGGGGTTTTCCTTTTTAAGTGACAGAAGAAGGCAGCAGAAGAGAGAGTTCCAACATGAAAAGGAAAAGAGAAGATTAAGAAAAGAAGGAAACAAAGAGAAATCTAAATACCCACAGAAGTAAAAATAAAACAATTTAAAATTATGTACTTATATTGTTCATCTATTGCCTAACAAAACGCAGATCTGTACTACATTCACAACCACTGCTAAACACTGATATGCTGCTAAAATGTATTAGCTTTCACAAAATTAGATGACCATGTCTTCATTAGACCCAGGAAAGAAGTTTAGTACAGGCTAAACCAGCAATTCCAAACGCAATTTGGTGTCGTTTTCTCATTCATGTGTACAGATAGATATCCCTCATCCCTAATAAGACTGTGCAGAATCAGCATAGTAAAGAAGAGCTATGGTATATGATAAACCAATGAAATATTTATCAAAGGACCCACATATAAATCTTGGCTCTATGATTTTTCAGAGGTGGGATTTTAGACAAGTCAATCTCACTAGGACTCACTGTTTTCATATATAAGATAAGAATATCACATACAAAGTCATATTGTTCTGAGGGTTATATGAAATAATAAATGTGTAAGGAATCTGTAAACTACAAAGTTTGCTAAGAACATTCATTTTTCTCTTAATAAAGTATAAATATTGGGGAACTTACAAAGTACACTTTACCACTTTACCCTAAGGCTGTGGTCAGCAAACTGAGGCTCACAAGCCACATGCGGCTCTTTGGCTCCTTGAGCGTGGCTCTTCCACAAAATACCATGGCCTGGGCAAGTCTATTTTGAAGAAGTGGCATTATAAGTTTAAATTTAAAAAAATTGACTCTCAAAAGAAATTTCAATAGTTGTGCTGTTGATTTTTGGCTCTGTTGACTAATGAGTTTGCTGACCACTGCCATAAGAGACCTTATCAAAACTGTGACCGTACACTAGCAGTGTTTTTGTCCATCAAAGAACATGATAGAATTAACATTAACACTGGCTTTAGAATGAAGAAGATAAAAGCTCAGGTACTATATCCTCCATTCAGTGTGTGTTTAATGCAAGTCATTTAATTTCCCCAAATCTAGATTTTTTCCCATCTGAGAAATGGGGACTACATCTATCTTGATGGGTTGTTTTAAGGAATAAATAATGTATGTAAAGTGTTTTCCACAGTGCCTAACAGAAATTATTTCATATTGTTTTCTCTATTATTACCAAAATAATTATTAGTTATGCATGCTCTAAAACTATGGGTCATCTTCATATACAATGAATAGCATCAAAAGTATTTATCTACAAAATTAGTAATACCTACTAAGATTTATGATAAGTTTTAAATATACCAGAAGTGAAATCTCTAAAACACCTTTTACTAATATTGAACAAAACCAAATCCTTTTTAAAAGACAAAATTTTTAAAAATTAAAAAAAAAATAATAGGCATAGATAACTTCATAACAACAGTCTTTGGCAGATAGAAATTCCTACACAGACAATACTTAAACTTATGCAATTACCTGAATACCTTTATTTTAATATTAAACTTATAGCTTTAAATTTCTCTGTAATTAGTGACTGCAGTTTATGCTTAAATGGCAGCAATTTCAGGTATAAGACTATTGTATAGTCTATAAAAGGATTTTTCTATAAAAATATAAAACAAGAGTGTAAAGTTAAGACACCACGAATTGTAAAATGACATCATTTAAGAATGCTTTTAGCTGTGATCCACTTGTGATCCTCTGTGACATTCACCACAGCAAGGGTATTGTGTTAAAAGATATGAATTCATTCAGTTTTTTTCCGAGCTTTCAAACTCTAGACTCTGATTACTATGATTAAAAAAGAGAATAATCTCAATGATTTTTTTAAGTGTTTAAAAACTTAACTAGCAAGAGCAAATTTTTTCAAAATACAGGCATTAAAAATCAGCAAGTTTATTCAAATCTTTAAAAAAAAGAAAAAAACACAAAACACTAAATGGAGAGGCTGAACTACAACTCTCACAATATACATAGTGTATAATATTTATTTATCTCCCTAACCGGTTAACTGAAGTGTGGGTGCTGTACACATACCCCTGATTCATATGAAGTTCTCTAGCATGAAAAACATGTTCCTGAGCTCCTTAACATATTTGAAAATTCTTATAATGAGAAGATATTATCAAAATTTGCTGGTGTTAAGTTGAAAGCAAGATGGAAAGTTACAGAGACAATGATGAAAATGACAAAAGGAACCACTGATTAGGTACTTACACGGTGCCGGGGTTACTGAAAGAGAAATAATACACACACACACACAAATGTGAAAGAGTAGAGAAGACATTGATGTTCCCAGGATGATGTAAAATCGACAAAGATGAGGCCAGAAAAAGAAGAAAAGGAAAAAATGAAATAACGAAATTCAAAACAATGAATTTATATGAAGATGTTACACAAGCATCATGCTTCAAAATAACCACGTAAGCACAGACAAATAAAAATGAGCAAATGTTAGTCAAAACTTTGTTACAATTATTGGAACAACAGTCTTATCTGCATTTTTGTTTGTTTCCCAAAACACTAAAAAATACTTTATATATCATTGCTAACTCAAGTTTCAAGCTACTAATACCAAGAGAGAAAGATCCATTATTTTTTAAAATTTTCTAGGTTTTTTTAAGTTTCATTTCAGTATGAATCCAAATTCCTATTATGTCCCTAACAAAAAGCACAGAATAAAATAATTATTAGATGTAAGATGTGAAATCAAATTGTTTTAGAATAATTTTTAAATCAGAGAGATTAGGAGGAAAACATTTTTACATAATATATGTAGTAGTATATAGTAATAGCAACTGTAATCACATAAATTATCCTGAATTAGGAATTATGCACTATTTGAAAATTTTCTTAACTTTTTTAATGTGGTAATTATAGTGAAGAATACAGAAAGCACGGGTCAAAAATAATGGGCTATTAGTATTCAATCTTCATACTTTCCCCTATCCACCACTGCTACTACTCTCAATCACAAGCAAATCCCAGGGAATTTAGAACTGAATTTCAGAAACTCTAGTTCTGTCTTACCAACTACCTCATTTACCCAGAAAGGAGTGTCTGATATTATATAGTAAAGGACCTAGATTAATAAGATCTAAAGAGGGAAAACCTCAAAACATAATTCACTCACATAGCCTATTAGTTAACAGAATCATTTAAAAAATATAACCCTTGAACAATGTGAGAATTAGGTGTGCTTATCATCCACCCTCCCCCCTCCCCCCCCCCGGCCCCCACTGCAGTTGAAAATCCAAATATAACTTTTGAGTCCCCCAAAATTGTGTTGTTCCCTGGTATCCTCCAGGGACTGGTTCCAGGACCCCTTTGGGTACCCAAACCCACAGGTGTTCAAGTTCCTTATATAAAATGCATGGAAAAATACATGCAGTCATCCTTCTGTATCTGTGGTTCCCAAAAATAAGAATAAGGAGAGTCGACTGTATATTTACAGAAAAAAATCTGCATATAAGTGAATCTGTACAGTTCACACCCATGTTGTGCAAGGGTCAATTATATATTCTTATTACGTTAAGGACAGAGAATATAAAGTATAAACTCTAGCTTTTTTACACACTGTTTAATCAATCGTTCCACAATAGAGTTTTAGTTAGAGTAACTAATAATTCATTATAAACATAGTGGGAATAACTTCCTACCAGTTTTAATATTAAGACTGTGAATGTGCCTACATTCCCAAATGTCAAAGTCAGTTTTATAAGTTCAAGAGAGGTTGAGTTTCACTGAATGGGGTGGGATTGTAGGAGTAAGTTTATCTCAACAGTTTATCAATATTTACTCTTCTCTAGCCCAAGTGCAAAGCATTCCCTCCTCTGCCTTGCTGTTTTAAGTAGTAGGGAAATTCAAAGTTTTGGGAAACAGTTGTATGTCAACATGAAGTTGGGGAGAATGTTCTATAGTATGGTGAGGAGCTGATTGTTTTACAACATAATGCCAACTTGAATATGCCAAGTATTTTCATGCATTTTAGAAAGTTTGCCCAAGTAGAACAGCCCATCATACACCATAGTGCCATTGTGGCAGTGAGATGACTTGGCTTTTTGCCCTGCCCATGCTGCCCACTTCCCCTCTGCCCTGGGCAAGCTGCAATCTACAGAAAGAAGCCCCTTTCTCCTCAACAGAGAAATGGACTGCAATTTCTCTCTCCCTTAGTCTTGTTGAAGGGCATATGTTTAACATATTTATTTGAAGGTACTCTGAAACTACACAAATACAGGTGTGTTCTTAGGTTAGATACCTCCAATGCTCATTATTAAAAACTAATAGCAAACCCAACTGAAGTTTATGCATGTTATGTACTCATATAGCCTCAATTCACTCAATTTAGCTTCGTGTCTATAATCATTAAAAACAAATATGAATTCAAAGTAACAGAAATAAGCCCAGTTCACAAACAGGTGATATAGAAGAAGATATACCGAAATCTGACTTCAAAAGAAGTAGGTTCCAATCTTAGCTCTATCACTTACAAGCTGCCAGATTTGAGAAATTTGAGTGACTTCTCAGCATTCAGTTTAAATGAGAATTAAATCACATTAATGCATTTAGAAACACCTAGCACAATGCACAGTAATATCTAATAAATTCATCTGAATCTGAATCTGAAATACATATTTAACCTAAGTGCTTAAATTTCATTTTCCAAGTCCCATTCCCCTCCACTCCCCTTTAAAGTCAAACTGTTTCATTGGAATCTAGTAACTAATCAAAGTCTTTGTGCATAAGAATTTAACTTTAAATAGACAAACAGTAAGTCAGGGTTTGGGGATTTTTCACCAGCACATTGGTGTGCAATATTTCTTGTGTATGTAATGTGAAACTATTCAGTTAGCAAGACCAAAGCTACACTGGAATATAGTTGCTCTAATAATTCAGCAGCTAATTCTTGAGTGTAGCTAAGATATTCCATATTTCCAATTCTACTCTCTTAGAGTAATGATAAAGAAATTTCAGCACAACTCAGAACAGTAATAACTTAACACAAAATTATTTTAAATTCTAACCTAATATGATTGTAACCTATTTTAAAGTTAGCAATCACAGGCAGTTTACTGTCAATACCAACAAACAATAGCAAGGTTTTTAAGTTACACTACAGTGATTTCCAATGTCTATGCCAACTACCTGTGATATTTAATAAGTTGGTAATTAGCCGGGACCGGTTTGGCTCAGTGGATAGAGCGTCGGCCTGCGGACTGAAAGGTCCCAGGTTCGATTCTGGGCAAGGGCATGTACCGTGGTTGCGGGCACATCCCAGTAGGGGGTGTGCAAGAGGCAGCTGATCGATGATTCTCTCTCATAGATGTTTCTAACTCTCTATCCCTCTCTCTTCCTCTCTGTGAAAAATCAATAAAATATATATTTTTTTAAAAAAATAATAAAATAAATTGGTAATTATTTCTCTTAACTAATTTAAAAGGTGTATAGACTTTCTATCATCCAGGGACACATAACTGCACATATAGAGATTTAAATATTTCAGCCTCATTGTTTGAAAAATCAAAAATGTTCTTAGAGACTTTACCTGGAAAATACTTGTTTTGTTATATGAATTTGGAAATCAACTCAATCTTACATATACCAATACTAGTGGTATATGTTTTCTGCTTTCTCTCTTACCTTTACTTTGTCTTCTAGTAGTCTAGACTGATATACATTCAATTCCCCAAAGCATTACTTTTTTTAGCTATTACACAGCACACCCCACATATATTTTAAAACAAAAGTCAAACACTAATATTTATTACTATAAAACAATTCACCACCACATAGCAATGCAAACCAAACTCACTGAAAAGACTAAATGTGATTATTCTAAATTATAGCTGTTTTGCAAAATTTAACTTAATTTTGCAAAAATCGGGCATTCATGCTGTTTACTCATATATAAATCACCATATTTCCTCTCCAGTAATGTAGATACTAACTTTGTCACGTGTGTTTTCTGCAAAAAGAAAAGTATTTAAAAACATTACTACCATATCATTATATGTTGCATCTCCCAAGGCCAGGTTCTTCAAAATACCACATAGGAACTGTTAGGAAAAATTATAGTCCAAAGAAATTGAAATTAATAAGGATACATGAAAGACTTACCTTGAAAGCAGTGGCCATTATAATGCAAGGGCATATGGAAGGGGAAAAGGTAAATCACCTACACTACTTGATGCAAAACAGCTTATCTTCCAGTTTGGAATATAAGTCCCATTTTGCTCTAAGTAGAGTACAGAGAATGGTAAAAAAAAAAAAAAAAAAAAAAAAAAAAAAAAAAAAAAAAAAAAAGGTAGCAAGCCAAGACCAATAATTTTTATATGTTAAAGAAAGATTAAAAACTTCTTCAAGTGCCTTGTTCACTATTATTTATAAGAAACAGGAATGCTGACATCATATTAAGAAATATTCTGAAACTATCAACATAATCATAGATTTCATATTAGATAGGATGAATAACTATTTCTCAGTTATGGTACATAATTAATAAGCACTTGTTTGTACCTTGTGTTTACTAATCCTATATAAATTTGGATGAGATGTCTATCAAATTGGCAAAGTAACTATTTTTTTTTTTTTTTTTTTTTTTTTCAGAGAGGAAGGGAGAGAGAGATAGAAACAACCATGATGAGAGAGAATCATGGATCAGCGGCCGCCTGCACGCCCCCTACTAAGGATCGAGCCCACAAACTGGGCATCTGCCCTTGACCAGAATTGAACCCAGGACCCTTTGGTCTGCAGGCCAATGCTCTATTCACTGAGCCAAACTGGCTAGGGCACTAGTTACTTTAAATCACTTAAGAACTAAGACCTCTTGCTTTGAGGAAAAAGATAACATGAATTGAGCTTTACATCCTTCTAAACTTTAAATTTTTTATTAATGGTACATATTATCTTTTAAATAAAAAGAAAGTAACAATTCTCAACTTTGAAAATGTTTTGTTGCAAATCTCTTGTAACATAAAAATATGGAAAATTTAATAATCACAAATTAGTAAAATGTCTGACAGTAATTTAAAAACAAACTGTCTGGCACCTGATACAGGAAATGCAAATATCATAAAACATCTACCCTTCAAAATGACACATCATGGACAAGTGTGTGATCTATTTTTTGTTTCTTTAACCTTACATGTAGTAAGAGAAAGGGCACTGCAAATTTGTTTTTAGAATTTCAGACACCACATTTGTTTTCAGAATAATCAAATTTTCATTGCCCTAACATCTGGACAACATTTGAAATCAAGCTATTTTTAAACACACCCATTTGCCAATGATGGCTGTTAAAGATGCAAAATGCATAACGATCCCTTTCCTCCTGACTCTTGCACAGTACTGGGCACCAGGCCTGTGCTCAGTAATCACATGACGATGGACTAAGAAGCCACCGTGAAGGTCCTGTAACTATACTACTGCCTACAGTTTCGGTTTGAAATGATCATCAAAGCTATACTTATAAACCACAAAATATAAAACTTGGTATTTTCATATACTTTAAAAGTAGTACTTTACCATAACCTCAATTTGCTTTTAACTCTACAATTTTCCCTTAGGAAGACTTTCATATAAAATTTCAAGATGTGTTAATAAGGAGAAAAGATTCTAGTACAAACACTTCCTTCAATGAACTTTTTCCTAGTGAACCTGAAATTTAATAAAGGTAGTAAATTTCTGATTTTAGTTTTCTGAGGGGCTAGCATTTGAAAGGCAGCATCTGTCTTTTCAGAATATGTACTTTGATGACTCTATAGTCTTAAAACAAACAACCAAACACACCTCAACACTACATACTATTCTTCTTCCTCACATGAAAGAATAACTTTCTTAGAAGGACACTAATTTTCTGCAATATATACATCAAAACTTTAAAAAGCCACCCACAACCACAGAAGCACATGCAGGGCCCGGTAGCTGTTCCTTCAGACCTCCTCCTGCTCTTTCAGCAGCAGCCTGGAACCCTGCCACCTCTCTCCCAAAGCTCCACAGTTGCCATGGTGGCAGTGCAACCCAAAGCACAGTCCCTTCATTACATGAATTACCATTTGGAAGGGATTATCTCAGAAAGAACCTATCCACACAATTATTTTAATTATATTTTCCTGGGAACTGGCATTGGTAAAACCAATCAGGCATGCAGATTATTTCCCTTCGTTTTCCTTTTAAAGTAAATTTTTGCCACAATAAATCTGATCAAATAAATTATTGGCTTCAAGTCTGATCAATGAATTCAAAGAATAAAATGACCATCTATAAATAAAGACTGTTGAAAACAAACTTCAAAAGGGAAAAATTATAAGAAATAGATTTTTAAAAACACCTGACATTATATATTTAGTGCCTATTCATTTAAATCCATTCATTTTAGAAAAATCTTTACAATGAAAATACCTACTAATTTGCTTCTAAAGTTTTTCATGCATCCCTGGACATTATTGTTTTGTCATTACTGTTTGCTTTTAAAGACTCAATTCTAGCATGAGCTTACCTGAAAAGAACAACGCTTGCATTTTAACCTCAGCTAATGCATCAGGCACAGACATGAGTCAAAACTTTGATTTCTATTTTTCTAAGACTTAATTCCTAGGGGGGGGGAAAGCTTCTTACAAACTCATTTCCTCTCTGCTTAGGGTGTGATACATAAGCTGATAAACTGATAGAAATGCAACCACTGTTGAAACTTTTGGTGACTAATAAAGGAGTGGAAATTTTGAGGAAGAAAGATGGAAGATTTGCCTTGCATTATAAGTGCCAGCTGCTCAATGCTGTGCCAGGACTTGGACAAAAAGAGTTACAGTATGTTACACGGTTCATAACATGTCAAAATGCATAATTAGGTTTTGATTAACCTATCATTGCCTTGCAGAAAGTGCAGTATGTATATAATATAAAGCTACATGCTAACAAAGCAAATAAAACCTCATCTCCCTTCTTTCAAAGAACAGCAGATTTTGAGGGGATTTAGATTGTTTCCTGGAAATTGCCTGAAAGAAGAGTTTTGGTAAGAGCAGAAAGCACCCTTGGCCACCTACCCATTTTGCTGTTTACTGTCACCCTGGGATCCTCTTCTCTGTCCCTCCGCTAGCTCCTGAGCAGTCTCGGAACACACGCTGGTGACTGTGGGCTGCCGTGGGACATTAACTGCAGGTTTACCAGCGCTCAGTGCAGGTGAACGCTGTTCAGCACTAAGATTGGCATTAGCATGCAGTCCAGATGAAGCGAATGGGGGAGAAGTGACAGCAGCCCCGGGTGGAGGGGAAGCATGTGATGAAGTGGTGGCATAGGCTGGGGTGAAGGCAGACGATGGTGATGGGATGGATGTGACTTTTGGTGAAGACACAGAACCAAAGGGCCGTGGTGCCTTATTGTAGGCCATGTTGGCTGTGGAAGTGACTTTGGACACAGCAGGAGATGTAATGGGCACAGGTTTAACTACTTCCTTAGGTTCTCCCTATGTAAAATAAAAATAAACATATACAAAAACACACCAGATACATGCAAACCAGATTCTCTTAAAAGAACAAAGCTTGTTTTTAAAAAAGACAAACACAATCATGTTAGCAGCTCAAACTTTACAGGTTTCCCGATAAAAACAATTAAGTTGATATAGCATAACATGCATGCTAACTGCTTCCAACATGCATAACACAGTTGCACACACTGAGTACATTTTTTAAAATAAAAATGAAAGGAGTTTCAAAATATTTAGAAAATGGAGCAGGAAAGCTATCAAAAAGCCTAAAGGGCATCATAAGTGTCAATTTGGACATATTCCAAAAGAAAAATTTTCAAATTCCTCACAATAAATAATACATTGCTAATCAAAATGTTTATTTTAAAATATCCAGAGTCTCAATTATAATTCCATCTTTCAAGTATATTTAATTACTCTCCAGAGTACAATCATTTGATTCATGCAGAAGCAGCAGCATATTTCTAACTCTACATGAAAAAAAAAAAGAAATGACTATTTTCAACTAACTCAGAAATGTGCACATTCTAATTAATGATTTTGAATCAAGAAATTGCTTTTTTAAAATCAACATAAAAACAACAAGTGAACAAACAAAATCAATTCTTTTCTAGTCCTGCAATCCACCAGTTTCTCTTTCTGGAATGTTTTGAGATATCATTCAGGGAATAAAAAGGAATAAAATTATTTTCCTTTTCAAAAAAAATATATTTAATAGTTACATGAGGAAAAAAAAATGATCTTAGATGTTTCTTCACTGCTATCAGCTAAAGAAAAAATAACTAGTAAGAAAGATCAATTCTTTCTAAAATTAACAGAATTTGTGCTTACAAATCTCTATTCCAAAGCAAGTATAAAGTTAAAAAAAAATTAATGAAATCCCTACTCATCCTAACATCTTTAAACAAAAACAATAAAAAATTTTAAAAGCATACAATGGCAACTTTATTTACTTCATTTTAAGAAAGCAAAGGTAATCTAAAAAAAAATCTTAGAAAAATTATAAATCTAACTAAAGGGTAAAAGTAGCTTTGTTACCTCAGTAAATCAATACAATAAGCATTTGATAGTAAGATACAAGTAAAATTAAAGACAAATTCCTAAACAGCATAAAGCAGATGTATACGAATAATGGTTTTGAACAATTTGAGGATATAGATGAGAAAAAAAAGGCATTTGCCAATAATCTAATTACAAGAATACTCAGCAAATGTAACTTAAAACTTATTAATATTATGAATAAAATAAGATTAAGGACTTATAATATTCATTTTTAGTAAACACTTATCTTTAGAATATATGAATAAAAACTGGCAAGTTAAAAGTAATGTAAAAATTTTGTATATAAGTCATTAAAAATACATAATACTGGAAAAATGTTTTAAAATATAATTAGAAAGATGGTAATTCTGTATGTGTTGATTTCCATTTTCCCATCATCTTTAAAGAAAAAGAACTGTAAGGAAAACTGTATTGAAACTATACATTGTCAGTATGGCGTGAGAAAGGAGTGGAAATTAGAGTATTTCAGGAGGGACTATCAAATGGTACCCTAGTGACAGTGAGTTAGAAACACACCTTTTGAACAGGTACTGGTTCCGGCCTGGATGTAGCAGATGCTCTGGGGGGAGAAAGAAGAGAAAAAAATAAAAAACATGAACTGATACAAACTTATTAATGGAATTTATTTATTATATACCTTAATATACTAAATAATCAGAATTTACAGTTTTATAACTCATTATTTTTGACTATTCACAATCTACTAATTAGTTTATGGAACTCAAACGCTGCAAGATCCAATAATACCTCTACATTCATTAGTTCTCTACACACTCAAATGAGGAAAGACAAACATCAATCATGTTTACTATTGCACTCAAGTTTAATCTTTAAAGGGCAAGGAAAATAAACGTGACTTTTTGATCCTTGAGTGGCTCCTGAAACATCATCTGAATGATTTCCAATAGTATCTGCCTTTTCCTCTAACATCCATGAAACCATCCTTAGGATATTGGCCTCTTTGTGAAGATACTGAATAAACTCAGGTTGAACTGAGTCACCAAATGAATATTTATTTTGCATTCAGATTTTTCTCTGATTATCCAAGTTTACTCTTGATACTAAACTGTCAGTTCTTCCTTTAAGCTATAATTTCAGCAAAGGTGATGACCATGTACCATTTGTTTCTGTCAGTACTGTAACTGCCATGAAAGAGTAATGAGTGTTAAAAGAAAGAGCAAGAAAGCAGGACAAAAACCCATGTACAAAATAGACTTCACTATTTCTAAAGCCAAATTAATTATTTTTAATATATGCTTTTTGTATTATTACCCTTCCTTTGGTTAGTGTGGATTAATAGTAGTAATAACTGATTTACAGGAATTATCTCAAGCAATCATAAAAAATAACCAAGTGGAAACCGTCTTTATCCTGACATTTTAGATGAGGTACTTCAAATTTAGAGTGAATAAATTACTTCTTAGGATGGAGCTGAGGCCACTAGTCAAGGAAAGTAACTAAATGATTGGGAACGCATCTAATGATTTAAAGACTTTTTACCCAGCATTAGGTACATGTTATGTTTAATAAGCAGTTGGGCTCGTCAATCACACAAGCCTGAGGACAAGCCATGAAGTGCAAAATTCAAGAAAAATAATTATAGTAAGTAAACGAGTGATCATTTTTTAAACTACAAACTATGAGACTGTTTTACTTATAGAGAAAGAAGATGCCAGCGAAGTATATTTGGTCTCTATGAGCATAACCTAGTAACGAACTCCAAACATGTTAGCAGCAACTGATTTTTTCCAATATCTAATTTGGTTAGCTGGGGCAAGCACTGACTGAATAATTGGCTAAGCTAAGGAATGGCCAGAATAGATGCAAACACTTGGTTACGGTTATATAGAATTATATACAATTGCATAAGTTTCCATGTGTACTCTCAGGCAGACTTTCCATTCATACTCTCAAGTTTCTCTTTTAGCTCAGAAGGTCATTATAACAAGCAAAGGAAACAAGTTCAGTACAGAACAACGGAATTTTCCTTTCACTGAAATTTCACAATAGGCTGCAAATCACAAAGGATCTATATTAAAAGCACCCAAGGCATTACTGACAGTTTGCTATAATAGAGAAGATGGTATCCCATTTTTACTTCTGGACACTTAAACTTTTCTAGCAACATAAAAACAATTTATGAAAAAGAACATGTTTACAAAAAGAATAAAAAGCACAGGTTATATATATAAAAAATAAAATCTTATTTTTTTTTCCAGATGTTTCTTCTTTAAAAAAATAAAAATGTTTGATTTCAGAGAGGAAGGGAGAGGGAGAGAAAGAAATATCAATGATGAGAAAGACTCATTGATTGACTGCCTCCTGCATTCCCCATACTGGGGAGCAAGCCCACAACCTAGGCATGTGCCCTGACCGAAAATGGAACCATTTTCCGGGGTTCGTAGGTCCACGCTCAACCACTGAGCCATGCTGGCTGGACCAGATGCTGCTTCTTATTTAAACAATGTTAGCAACAACAGCAAAAGCCACATAATTGTTAGTTTTCATTATTTTTTTTGAAGAATACAATAAAAATAAGTCCTGATACACTTTACGCATTGAAAGTTCCACAAAAATACTGTTTGAAATTTTAAATTCACAAAAAAATTATAAATCAGAGGTTTAAATCTGTTTTCCCTTCTTTCCTTCTTATAAGGTTTTACTACTGTAGTAACATGAACTAAGACAAGTAATCAGAGAAAAGAAGGGCAACATGCCCTGAAAACTCCAGGATTGAGTCCATTACACATTAAAAACACAACCGTTTTTATAGAAAAAACATAAACTAACTTACAATTAAATGTCAAATAAAATGGCTGACACCAGATGCAATAAAATTAGTTCTGTTGGTTTAAATTTTTAAATAACCACAAAATTACTCATAGAGTCATTGAAACCTGGAAGGTTGTTTAGTGCTACTTTATCACATTGCCAATCAGATACTCGTCTGACCTCAGCTTGAATGTTTGCAGGTGCTCACAATTTAAGCCACGTATTTTCTGAACATTTTTGTTTAAACTGGCCTTCGTTTGTGTGTGTTGTTTTGCTTCTTGGAGTAAACAGAGTAAGTCAATCTTTCCACATTAAAAATATTTGGAAAAACATTTTTTTTAAATATATATATTTTACTGATTTTTTTACAGAGAGGAAGGGGAAGGGATAGAGAGTTAGAAATATTGATCAGCTGCCTCCTGCACATCCCTACTGGGGAATGTGCCCACAACCAAAGTACATGCCCTTGACCAGAATTGAACCTGGGATCCTTCAGTCCACAGGCTGACGCTCTATCTACTGAGCCAAAACGGTTAGGGATGGAAAAACATTCTGACACACAGATTATGTACATAAAATCTATAACATACATTAATTATATTTTAAAATATCAGTCGACTACAAAAATCTTATAAATGTATTTACATACTCTTATGACACAAACTATTGTGGTTAAGGAAATTTAGAATATAGGACAAGTAAAATCTGCAAAATTAAATTGTAATAACACTAGTATTTAAAAAAAAAAAAAAACTTTACTAATTATCACAAAATAAAAAAATAAAAAGATTTTTACTTTCAAATATGTAAAGACTAGAGGCCTTTGCCCAAAATTCATGCAAGAGGAGACCTTCCTCCTCCCAGCTGCCCGCACCGGCTTCCCTCTGGAGCCGGGACCGAGGCTTCCTTCAGGAAGATCGTCTTAAAGGGTGCCCAGTCTAATTAGCATATTACACTTTTATTGTCATAGATTGGTTTTAATGTTAATACACAATGCTTGTGCGAGTAATGCTATAAGTTGCTGGAAGAACTATGTATCTTACGATTCTTTTGGAAACTAATTTGGCATTTATTTACAAAAAACTCATGACTTTTGATATGATAATCAACTTCTGGGAATCTACCATAAGAAAATAATCTGGAAAGTACTTATGTATAAAAAGATTTGATCCTATAATTAAAAACAAGTAATTACACAATGAGCAAATGTTTAACTTAATAAAAACATATGATGAATCAGTATGCAATGACTAAAGTCATTCTCAGAAAGAATTCTGAATTATGATAACATGCTTTCTTTATAATGTCAAGTGAAAAAAGGAAGATATAGCACATACAGCATGCATAGTGCATGGGGGAAAGGGGATGGAAACACATCAACATTTTAATAGAGGCTCCCTATGAATAATATTTGTTTCTTCTCTTTTGTGTGTGTTTTCCATATTTTGTACAATACACATGTGCTACTTTTTATAAGTAAGACTATTTTCCAAAACACAAAATAAATAAAAAGGTTCTGTTTTCAAAGATGTTTGGAAAACTTGAAGTTACAAAAGCATCTAAGCAACATGACTTCTCAGAGCCTTTAAATGCCTACAGAAGAAAATACTGTGAATTGTTGTCCATATCCATTTGAAGTACGGAATGCTTATTTATTTAGAATACTCATTCAAGAAACCCTTTACAAGAATGAAGTTAGGAAGTTAAAAAAAAAAAAAAAAAAAACTCTCTAGGAAATGTAGTTAAGAAAAAATAAATATATGTAAGTCTGAACTGTTTACTCAGGTCTTCCAGAAGGGGATAAAATTAAGGGAAAGAAATATTACCACCCATAAACTTAGAATATCATTCTTATCCAACTAGTACTTTCTCAAACTTTAATAAGCTACCCAAAGACTATGTGCATAATTTAATCAATGTTTAAGAAGGAAAGTCCCACTTCCTTCATCAAACTAAAATCATAATATATGAATAAAGAGCCAAAGCCAGTTTGGCTCAGTGAATAGAGCCTATGGACTCAAAGGTCCCAGGTTCGATTCCGGTCAAGAGCATGTACCTTGGTTGTGCAAGAGGCAGCTGATTGATGATTCTCTCTCATCGATGTTTCTGACTCTCTATCCCTCTCTCTCCCTCTCTGTGAAAAATCAATAAAATATATTTAAATATAAAAAGAATAAAGAAAACTATTTCTCAAAATTAAAAAATTTATAGTTGTCTTGCTAGAAAAAATATATTGAGCATCTGCTCCTTTACTTAAATGTCATAGAATACTTAAAAGCAAACACTTTTTGTCACCTGATTTTATGGTAATTTTGCCAATTCAACACCAACAGGAATCTCCAATTTGGGGTGCGGTGAAGAGTGAAATTTTATTCAGTGCAAAACAGCTCATTTGTGATATAGCATGGTTGTGGCTATGATGTCCCTCTCTCTGGCCAGACAACTCTGCTCTACTCCTCACAAGTCTGCTTTATTGTGCACTGGTCTGCTCCATCTGTGCCTGTCTACTCCTGCCTGTACTGGTCTGCTCTGCTCTGTTCCAGCGAGACATGTTGGGTGTTTCAGCTCCAGCCTGGGAAACACGGTCTTCAGTGGAAAGGGAAAGTGCACTCAAACTCAGAGGGGCCTGACTTAACATAGACAGAAGACCCCCCCCTCCCCCCTCGTCCCTGCTTGGTCTGTCACTGTGCAAATGAGGGCTTCATATCCTTGCCGTTTGATTGGTCCAAAAGGCACTGTCCTGATTGGTCATAATGGAGTCACGCTCATTGGCTAGCAAAGATGCTG